GAGATCTAAGCTTACATTGGGCATCAAGTTATATGTGTGTCTTCCCTGCGGAGCATTGTTCCACAAATCTTGCCAAGATTTTGAAGCAAGTTGTTTTATAGTTGGTACTTGAAATTTGAGCGAGGCCACGGAATGAGTATTTCAGTACCATCTTGATTAATAGCTGCTTCTTTGGCTAGTTCATCTGCCTGATCATTACCAAAATGGCTACTATGTCCTTTGATCCATGAAATTTGAATTTTGTAGTTTGGGATTTTTCCAAGAAGAGAGTTTATGTCGGATATCAATGTATAGGAAGGTAAGGGATTTTTAATAGCTAGAATAGCTGCTTGGGAGTCAGATTTTATACTAAATTCGTTGAGATTTTTGAGAATGGCTATTTCAATCGCTGCTTTTATAGCTGACAATTCCGCTTGGAAAACACTATTATTATTATGGAGATGGCCTTTCCATTTGATGATATTTGAGGGGGTAATTTGAAAAAAGACTGCTGAACCAACTTTTCCTTCAATTTTTGATCCATCAGTATAAGCTATTGGAGATGAACTTGAATTTTCTTCAGACGTGGGGAATATTATTTTGCTGAAGCGAAGCGCTGGATGGATAAGATTGGGTTAATTTTTTTTTTTCATAGTTGGATGGCAAAAGGTTTGGTTGTTGAATTCTGCGGCTTGGTTAAGTTGAAGAACTTTCATATAGGTGCATTCCTTTTCTGCACTGATTGATAACGGAAGAGTACCAGCTAGAGTATCAAGTGCTATATTTGAAGTTGTGCGATACGCCCGAGTAATGCAAAGAGTAAAAGGCCTTTGAATTGAATTTAAAAATTTCATCTTTCTCACTGTCATTGGTTGTGCCCAAATTCCGGCTCCGTAATTTACCATTTTTGAGATGACTGTTTTTAGAAGAATACGTGTTATATGGGGATTTAAGCCCCAGTTATATCCATGCATACGTCGTAGGCATGTTGTACGAAGTTTAATATTTTGTAGATGAGGAATCCAGGAGAATTTTCTTGTCGATTGTTAAACCGAGGTACTTGATTGTGTTCACAGATTTGATCTTTTGATTGTCAATTTTTAGAGCTAAAGCTTTAGTTATATTTTGTCCTGGTTTGTGGATCACTAAGACTTGGGACTTAAGGCACTGTGCCTTCACCAAACACTTTCAATAAATTTCTACATGCTTCTGTAGCATTTATTCCTTGTTGAAATTCGTAAAAATACAGTGGCGTAAATGAACTTTATCAGTGGCCATAGGTACACTATCGCTTCACACTTAAGACTAACGTGAATCAACTTTGTTTTAGTTAACTTGCTACTTCAGTATGTATACATTAAGCGATAAAAATAGAGAGCCGAACATACGGCAAATAAACATGTGCGTACGTGTCGAAAATTGCCATAAAACGGACAGAACTTTCTGGTAGACCGTAATAATACTTTATTTCTCCTTTCGGCTTTTTAATAACTAAACTCTTTATTATGGCTTTTTAATAACTAAACCTTATTATGCAAAAACCGAGGGCAGCATGCACTTGAACCGTTTCAAACTGGACTGAAACCTGACATGTTTTTCATGAAAATTATAGAGTAATATATGACAGCCAATCCTTGAAATAATTTAGCATCTTTTCTAAATATGTAAATCTTAAAGGGCATAAATTTATAAAAGTTAAAAAAAAAGCTTCGGACATTTACCGCGAATAGAATCGTTTTGATGTCTCGCTGTTTTGCAGTTTTCTTTGATGGTGCTACACTAATGTGCTAAACTTAAGCAACTTTCCAGATTTTGGTCATAATTCTTCAAAATATCAACTGGGAAGACTGGAAGAGATGAAACTAGAAAGATGAAATTCTCCATATGAACTGGGAGAGATGAAATTCATATTCCAGAGGCACAATGTAGTACTTAAACGATGAGGAAAATGTAGTAACAAAAACGAATGGGACACATACAGTACGGAACGAATAGAAAAATATTTCATTGACAGAATGGAGTCGGTATAAAAACCTGTCTGGCCAAGAGAGAGAATAGCGAACCCGAAGCTTGAGTAAAGGATATGGATCCCCTTACTGCAATGGTTACTTTCCATTGTCTTTCGAACCTCAACACCAGATTATCTAACAGTTCTTGAGATAAAAGTTCCCATTCTTCAAGGAACACACGTTTCAGTAGTCTGGTGTTCTCTGAAGGGTAAGATCGTGCAGCCTTGTGTCTCCTTAACGTTTCGCATCATGTTAAATGCGATTTAAATCAGGGGAGCATACTGATCAATCCATTCCCTTCGACCACAGAAACGTTACTCTGAAAAGTTTCCACTGATGACTATTTTTTATGCTCTTTTTTGATCAGCTAGGGTAGCTCATTTTTGTTTCACAAAGATTCTTGCTTTTAAGAGGTAGACCAGCGGTTCCCAAAACTTTTGATTCGCGTTCAAAAGGTTCCCAAACCTTTTGAAGCCCTTTTCAGAAACAGTTTCTCTAGAGGAGCCCTTTAGGCACATCCATAGTTTTATAAGTTAATGATGTTTAAGAATTGCATTACATGAGTAGATTAGATTAGGCTATTTGAATATGGCAAAGCACACAAATTCTATGTGCTTATTACAGGGGTGGAATGTCCATGAAATGAAATTATATTTAAAATTTTTTAGATTTAATATCTCAATTTATGCTCAATGTGATATTGTCAAAAGTTTCGCCATATATAAAGATGCACCCAAAATTTAGTAAAACATACCAATTTCTGTTAAAAGATATTTTACACCATTTCTTGCATCATCAAAGTCTTCACAATAAATTCAGTTTCTGAAAGTTAATTATTACATGCACCTCGGCTCAAACACTCATTCGCCCATTACTTGTGATTTCAGGTTTTTACAATTTAGTTTTATTATTATTAAAATATTATTTAATTTATTATTTATCTTTTGTGCACATGTAAACGGCTCGAGAAAACCATCTTACTTCAATATGCTGCAAGAGGGACTCATGGTGGCTTCCCATATTCTTCATATGTTAATATATAGTATCTGCTTCTAAGAGGTGTCGATTTTATACGGTTTATTATTTTTTCTATCACCTTTATTAATGAACTTGTTAAATAGTTAGAACAACTAGTTATATAACTAATTAATAGAACACTAGTTATACAACTAAACTTGCGGAAATGTTAAGAAATAACGATATTATTGCTATGCAGTTTTACTGTGAATCAGCTTCAAATCGAAAAGCCACCCGTATTTATTAATATGCTTAGTAGATTCCATGATTTAAGTTAATGAGCTAAGTTTCGAAACGCTTAGTAGATTCCATGATTCTCGAAGGTTCAATAATGACGGATAATCTTCTTGAGTGTGCAATTCCGAGTAATGGCCAAGCATTGTCTGCTAGAGGAGACACGAAATTGGTGAATTTTCGCTTTCAAAATATAATTTCTAAATGTCTGTTTTTAATTAAAATTTTTGTTTCATTCTTCAATTTCATTCGGAATTTATTTATTTTATTTTGTTAGAGCGGCCGAGGAGTTTTTGGGAAGTGCATACGGAGCCCTTAGATTTTCGTGGAATAGCAGATTGGGAACCGCTGGTGTACATAACATGCCGAACTTTCCGCAGAGAATTAGTAGACTTGTAAAGTATTTTCTCACTCCTTACCACGTGCATTCGTGGTTTAATTAGAAAGCACGTCCAGCTGGCAATTAGAAGATCTGGAGTTATAATCCCGGCGAGGCCATCGCGATATTTCTCTCTTTACTTGCTCTAAAAATTCTAATGGTCTCTACAGACTAGAATTCAGAAAAGAATTCTTTGCGTTGATTCCGAAAAGTTCCTATCAGATACCGAGTTTTTGATGCTTTCATTGTCCAATGTTTTTGATTAGAAAGAAAAGTGTGACTTTTTTGGAGTGAGTATGTAATTCAGGAGCGGATGAGGATATTAAGAATTTGGGAAATTTCTAGAGACGACGTAGGTAACAGGTACGCTTTGTCATCTTATCGATGGTTTAAAAGCGGTTGAAACATAAATCATAATTGAGGGATTCATGCAACAAAAAGCAATAAACTTGTTGAAAGAAAATAATTTAACGACGTTCCAAAATAATCTAAAGATAAACTAAGTGTAATCGTGTTAAACTTATCGACTTAACCTTACCCTCCTTAGCTCGTTTCAAATTAATATTTGTGGATCTAATTCTTTACTTCAAGCTGGGGTCTATCCTATTCCACTACCCCGATAATTTCATAACGATACCAACAACTTTACACATATCGGCAATTATTCTCTTAGATAAAGATCTTTACATAGTTATTCTGGCTTCATATTCTAAATTGACCTCACAAGAGTGCCGGCACCTTTACGCAGGTCGGCGATTATTCGCGTATACAAAGATCTTTACATGGGCGTCCCGGCATGTTGATGAAGATTCCATTCTTCAAGGGTGTAAGTCAAAATCCTCAAGAGTGCCGACACTTTTGCAGCCAACTCAAAAAGGTGTCGGCACATTTATTCGAATTGGTCGCGTCAGTCAGACGAGCCCCATTCGCCTCTGATTTGACACTTCATATTTGATGTAACGCTTCATATCTATTCGATTACTTTCCATTTTCGAAAGTCAAATCTAATATTAAACTACAAAATTTTATTAATGTTTCAAGTGCTGATGGAAATATATCAATGGAATGAAAGATGATTTTAATAGTTAAGTTTTTTGAAAGCAATCAAAAGCTCTATTAACATACCAACTGATGTAAAACTGTAAAAGGAATGAATTATAGAGAAGGTTAAATAGTAATGCTGTTTTATTTAGATACCAGCTTGATATAAATTCATTTCTAAAAGGCCTGGAAATTAACCCTTTTTTTTTTTTTTTTTTTTTTTTGTTGTTGTTGTTGTTGTTGTTGTTTGTTATGTTATGAAACTTCCCATACATTTAAAATCACAGCTTGGCTCACTGAAGTGTAAAGTCTAATTCTAAATATCAACTACATTTTTTAAGGTCAATACAAACACGAAGAGCAACAATAACTGTAAACTTCCTTCTTCAAAGTCCTCGCAGCAGTCTTCTCCGTTAAATCTTCTTCCACCCTGCAATCTACAAATGTCCACCATATCTTCATCTATGTTAAACATTCCATCGAGACTTCTCCCTACGTTAAGCCAACCCATGATCCCCCCGCCCTCCACAGGACCTATGAGAAGAAGACTTAGTGATAAAGGATATCACCATCCTATGTCTGGTAAGTTCAATTTGAATTTCAATGGCATTGCCATTTCTGGGCAATACGCATAAAAGTCTCATTATTGTAAACATTAAAGAAATGGGTAATTTAAGGAGAAATTATTATTTTAACAAAGTGCTTTATTATGTCTACGTGTATTTAAATTGCCAATGTTTAACGTTTCTTAGAATTTTGTGTCCTTTTAGGTAGAAAAATATTAGGTTTCGTTAGCCTAAGTTTCTATAGTGTTTTTTTTTTTTTTTTTTTTTTTAAATACAAATGAAAATTTAAATATGGCATTTTTACACGAGTTTTCAAAATTACGATAACCATATATTAAATAAAATTATTTTAATGTTACTTTATTTAAAGTTTACTTTTTCCTTTTAATGGTCTTTGAAAACTGCAAATACAATGCAAAAATAATGTAATTACAATAGGAAATATGTACTTAAATATTCTTCGAAAATATATCCATTCTGAAATAATATTCAGCATGCCAGTTATATTATTTATGAATACAATTTCTAGGTCATTCGCAAATAGTTTCAGGACATTTTGAATTTGTTTCAGCGTTGGATCAACACGGGTATCCCGATGTCCCTCTTCGGCGAAGAGCGGCAGAAAGGGTCAATTTGGACATAACGGAAGGTGAGTCGATCTTAAAATTTTAAAAGAATTAAAATATCTTTGAAGTGATGAAAGAACTCATTCAGTAGGAATTACATTGCATTAGACAACACATTTTAATTGCTATCTGCGGGCCAAATGGTATTTTTCGTTTCCGTTGTGTTAGTTAAGTTTAAACATTAGATGATTATTTCATCAAACATTTGCTTTTGCGGCCAGGATAACGCTGTTTCAAACACAAATCTTAATCTTACAAAAATATGCAGCATTCAGAATTATTTTCCAACAGTGGATTGAGAGGTTTTATAAAAAATGATCCATGTTATCCTCAAACGTAATCTTTCATCATATTCCGTGTCCTAGCAGAGTCTCTCACCTTGTTATCCTGCTATACGCCATTCACCTGTTTTCTTTGAATTTATAAGAGTATGTGTCAAGAATGTACTTTCAGATGACCATTTTGTAAACGATGCAGTAGTTTTCGATAAGCTTTCCCACAACTTCCATGTTATCTTTGGTCTTGTAATTACCCAAGAAACCATTGCCTCGGTAGTTAGTAAGTCAGTTTCTTTCAGAATTCCTTATACTTTACGATTTGAAATCTGACGAAAATTTCTAGGTTAATTCTTTGTGCAAGTAGTTAGCTCAGTGAATAAGACGCGAAGGTACTGAAACCAGCCAAATCGGTTTCTGAATCTTGAGCTAACTGCTTCCTAATTCACAGCGCAGGCTTCTACATTTTCTGGAGATCCAACAGGAGCCAGACTCTGAGAATGGCACTTTCTCATAAAAATTACTACATTTCGTTTCTCTTGCGATTTTTTTTAATGAACTAAGCTAGTGCTTTTTAAACTTTTTTCATTCATGACTTTTTTTTCTCATCGTGAATTTTTCGAGGCACCAGATATTAAATACAAAAATTAATATTTTCCTATAAATAATCAATTTTTTAGCTAAAGTCCTAGCAGAGTCTAGTATATATATATATATATAGATATAGATAATATAAGTATATATATATATAGATAATAAAGTATATATATATACATAAAATCACGTTTTAATGAGATGGATGAGCTTATTTTTGGCTGCATAACAAATTAAATTTTGGTGAAATATTTAATACTGCTGTACGTAAAGCATCTTCAACGTTTTTTAGCGTTAAATGAAATCTGGACTTAATAAGGGTTAAAATTGAAAAATTCGTTTCTCATCAGTATATGGTGCTGAACAGAAGAAGAATGTTTAATGCCGTTTGAGAAATTATGGGAAATTCAAATCTAGCTCCGATCACTGAAGCTTCAACTCATTTAGTGAAGGACTTTAGGGGAAAATTAAGCTTTGAGTTATTCGATAGTTAAACAGTTTATTGTCAGTGAAAAATGATTTTTGAACCCAAGATAATCTTTTGAAATCAAAATTTGATATAAAGTATCTGCAAAACTGTGTTTCTAAGGAATTTGTATGATCTAGAATAAATTTTGCAATTAAAGTTTTACCATTATGTTTTCAATTATAAAACTGCTATCAGTCGAATCATTTCAAATGAATCATTTTCCACCCTATTCTTCCAAATTTGATCTTTTTAATAAAACCTTAAATTTTGCCTTTCGAAACAAGTATATAGCTATTTTTTCTTCGATAAGATGAGATCGTTTAGTTTCTTAAAAATAGTTTAGATCCCGGCGAACAGCTGTTTGCACTGGCTTTTCATGTTTTTGCCCATATGTTGTGTGTATACTGACCAGTTCCCTTAGAAAGTCCTCTACGAAGGCATCCATTCTCTTAGGCAGATAGCCCTCGAGTTCTTTGCCGTAACCAAATAAACCAAGCCAAACCAATTTTGTTGCTATTTTTGTAAACTTTCAAGGGCCTGTCCGTGTATCAGGTAGTGTACAAAAGTTACATAATCATTACCAACAGCTTACAAATGATTTAAAACCGAAATTTTCACCTATCATTACTTTTGCTCCATCTGCGCGTACACAAAGGCAATTTTGCAATTTAAACCTTAATTTTAGAAAATTCATCAACTTTGCTGTATACGTCTTCCGATCTTATATGCTCTTCTCAACGATTAGAAAATAACAATTCTTCATCGAAATATTCTTTATAAATGCATCCGACATACTCGTATACTTACAACTGATACTTTTTTAACGTCAGCTGTTTCGTCCAACTAAATCGCAATTTTGTTGTTCGAATCGGTCTTAGTTAATTTCAGAAATTCTATTGGAGACAGTATCATTTTGAAAAAGAAATTTTCCGAATTTCATCGCCTTTCATAAAGTTTTTATACCATTTTAGTAGCAGAAAGTAATATACGATCTTCTCCAGTGGTGTATGTTTATTATTATTATTATTATTATTATTATTATTAGAAATGAGACCTAAAACTTTGCTTGGCGTGAATAAATATTTTTCGCTAACAGTCATAAATTTTCTCATTTTTTTTAAATTATTTTTTTTAAATTTTATATGAAGATTTTAACAGTCGTTCGAAATATTCTTTTAGTTTCAAGATCCATTTTTAACTTTGATAATTTCTTACGCTTAATATCCAAAACATTATTGCAAATTAAGCAAAGAGGTTGTTCATTACCATCATAGTTGCTGAAAATAAAGCCACATTGGAGAAATGCCGCATTTCAGATGCCTCTTCCTGATTATAGATCCCGCTTGAAGCGATTTTGTAGCATTGTCATCTGATTCATTACCTCTGTTATTCAAGTTCAATTATTTATCCACGGGTAAAATACTTTTATCATAAAATACGAAAAACATAACATCTGTCGTAATAATTAGTCAAATAAACACCCACCTTAGTCAAGTAAAGCAGTCGAAACAATTCTGTACTGTTACACACCTTTTGCGATGAAATAAAAACAACTGGTTTGGTTTATTTAATTATTACAAAAAAGGGAGGACTGCCTCAGGGGAGGGATGCCTTCGTGGAAAACTTTCTAAGGTAAATTGACTCGCATCCATATTACACATGGAGAAAATCATTTAAACGTCCATGCAGCAACCCCGTTCGCCTGGAATCAAACTCAAGTTGAACTGCCAATATTCAGCGACTTTACCGCTCGGCCCAGAAACAACTGACTGCACTGGTAAATTGTTGTCACAACACTTGTCGCTGCGGCGCCAACCTTAAATTCGGCGCAAATGCGTGGCTCACGGATGTTAAGTTTGTGCGTTTGATGCATATTTTGATTCCGGAATAACTTATATGCTAAAATTGGAATGCAATACTCTTATTATGATGCTCTTATGTGTATTTTTCAATATATAAATATAATTCACAGCTCAGCTTGGACAATATTACGATTTATAATTGCACTATACAAAAAATGCAATACGTTAAATTAAATATAATGAAGGGAATGCGACTAATGTTTCTTTAAATTCGTGTATCTGATTTACAGGGGCCCTCCAGCGGCCGAGCGGTAAAGTTGCTGAACACTGGTAGTTCGGCCCGAGGTTCGAACCCCGCGAACGGGCTGGCTGCATCGGTACTTTCGTGGTTTTCTCCATGTGTAACGTGTATACGAGCCAGTTTTCCTTAGAAAGTCCTCCACGAAGGCATCCCTTCCCTTAGGCAGAGAGCCCTAGTGTGCTTTGCCATATTTAAATACACCACCACACCATCATCTGAATTACATATTTACGACTGGAACATTTCGATTTGTGACTCCATTGGGGGTCTCGACTCATAGTTTAAGAAACGCCGAATTAAACTAATGGTATGCTTACTTAATAAACATGTACAGTAAATCATGTCATGATGGAGGGATCACGCCTTCCTGCGTTGCTATGGCAACGAGATATTGAAAACAAGGAAATTTATCATTTTTGCTCCATTGATCACATAAGCAAAATTTGAAACTGGCAATGATTTTTTCTTCCATTTTATAGATAAGGTTTGGAAAAATCAGATGTAATAATTAAATGCATTGTTACCCAGTATTATGTGTATAAGGTAATTTTTCGTTGAATATTTCACTGATATTAAAAGATTAAGTTTTAAATGTTTGACTTTGTGAAGCAGTAATGGTGTCCCTTCAAAAGTCAGAAGCCATTATAAAATAAGAAGACTAAAGTGACAGCCACCAAATTCATATAACGAGAGAGGTTATTCTTTATCACTTCTCATCACTAGAAAACCATTTTACGTTTTCTTGGGAAATTTTCAAACCTATCTACAATCAGCCAGTTGAATAATCTCTTGCAGAAGCAAAAAATTAACTTATGAACTTTTCATTTCAATTTTGCGTCATGTGATTAAAAAAAACCTATTAAGATAATTTTTATTTCTAAACTTTTTGTACCTGTAGAAAATAATGTATACATCTTGAAAGCACAAAAATGAACTTTAAATGAAGTTCCATTCTTCAGGATGTTGAGGAAAATCAATTAGTTGGATGACATCAAAACTGAAAAGAAACACGCCAAAACGGTACATAAAATTAGCAAAGCAAGAACCTTGCCTTTGGCGTAGATTTATTCAGTAACTCAATGAATTTTGAAGGCAAACAGGTATAGATCCCTCTTCATCAGAAGCGAAGAAATTTGCTTATGGACTTTCGCAGTGCTTCAGAATCAATATGATATACATTGTGCACATGACTTATCACCATTTGATTATAAATTAATTTCAATGGTCAGTCTTTTCTCTAAATTTGTGAAAGTATGTATCCACAACAAGGGTTTTCCAAAGTCCGTGCGAATTAAAAGTTGCGACACACAGATGGTGCAAAAAGGACTACCGCTGGCATATATTCTATTGCACTCAGTGTTGCATTACACGGAGAAAAAAAACACGATTTCATTAATCTCATGTGCATGCATGAAAATTTTCTGTATTACGTTTATATTTTGAAAGTCTAACTAACTTTCTTACAGGAGGAGAAAATCTGCGGTTTCACTAATGTAATAGCCAATTATAATAACCCATGTGTATACATAAAAGTTTTATGCACTTTCATTATTTTTGAAAATTTGAATAATTTGCTTTCATAAGCGGAAAAGAATTCAATTTCATTAATGTAATCAACTGTAATTATCTATGCCCAACTTTCATATTTTTGAAAGTCTGAATAATTTTCTTTGCAGAAATAACAAGGAATCGAGAGTTTTACAAGAATGCAGATGTCCGTCCTCCATTCACTTATGCCTCTCTTATAAGACAGGTAAGATTGAAATTTGAAAGCTGTTAACATTTTCTTCACTACTAACTGTCAAAATCCCTTTAACTAGAATTAAAGTGAGCGAAGTGAAAAGATTTGTTATAAAAATTAAATAAGTATACAAAGATTGCTCCTAAACGAAGCTTTGACGCTGAACTCAAAATTTACAATGATTTCGGAAAGTTCTGCTGCAAGAAGTCATGGTCTCTCATTTCCAAAATAAAGAGGCTATGTGCAGTTTTTATTATGGAAAAAAATTGCCCAGAATTTAGAAAAAAGTAATTTGAGAATAGATTGAGTTACATCAGAGACATTCTGGAAATCTAGAATTGTCTCTAGTGCAGCAGTTTTCAGCCTTTTATTGATAGTAGCCTCCGTATCACTTATATATATATATGTATCGTTAGAGAAAAAGGCGTTATAAAACTAGATATTTTTATTTAGTAAGATAAAAAATATTAAAATATCAGTTTTTAAATATTAAAAAATTTGCATGTATGTTCCTTGTTCTGTGGAAAATTGGAAGCACCTAAAGCCACCAAGTTTAGAAAACACATAGTTCTCGGCTCATCTCGAAGCCTGAATTTTGAATTCCAGTTTTGTTTATTGTTTATTTTACATTTCGTGTAAATTTAAGAAATTTTTTATTAACAAACTTAGCGATTTAAAAGGAATGTGTTCCCACAGGACAAAGCATAAGCTATTTATTTTTCAGATTTAATCAGAAAACTCAACGATTTAAAAGAATGTGTTGCCTCTCAGCAAAGCGTAAGATATTTGTTTTCAAAATTTTCTTACTCTACGATTTCAAAGAAAAGTATTGCCACTACCAAAAATAAAATCTTTTTCTTTATCTTCCACGCTCCAGTTCTATTGTCAATTTAACAAAGCGTAAAGTATTTTATTTTTCTTTGAAATTTAATTTGTTACTGATGAACAATTTAAGCTATTTAAAAGAAATAAACTAAATTCACCATCCTGTTTATTATTGTTACGAATTTTGTACATAAGTAAATAATTTTAGTGAAATTATATGTGATATTGTAATTTTTTTTGGTATAATGTAACATGAAAATCTAAAAAACGAAGCTTTGCCGGTATACAGGACCAAGTCTATTTAACATTGAATAAATGACTATCTCGCTGAATTGGCGAGATATCGCCAAGTTGGCAATGGTTTCGGCAACTAATTTCTGTCGCTAAATTTGGGAAGAAATCTTCAAAAGTCGCCAAACTTGGCAACCATTTGGCGAAATTATGGTCCATCTCTGCATAACTGTAATAGGTATTGCTACCGAATAACTGTAATTGATGCTACATGTAGCGTAAGCGTATCTGGCCCTCAAAAGCCTTCCAGTAATTTCGAGAAGTGCAAAGTGCTAAAAATCTCTCGGCGGCCGAGAGAATACATATAAAACCGAGGAAAGCATCAATTTCTCAATTGTTGTTTAGTTCAGCGTGAGTTTGGAGCAGTGAGACATCTCCTTGCGAGCTTCACTCTTTAGGTGCGTTTTACATTGTGTTGTGTTTAACGTTTTTAGCAGTTTGAAGTATAACTACTGCTTGCACTTTTTGATACTATGAAGAGTTGTACAAGTATTTTTGTGGAAAGTTACAGAAATGTAAAGTGTTCTTTTTGGTAAAATAAATTTTATCAAGCTGTCATCAATTCTGTGTGCCTTCTATCTATTACGAAACCGTACGCACGCAGAATTATTAATTACTAGCTAGGCCCATGAAATTACATTGGCTGGACTCATTAAAATCATTATGTACTTTTTCCTTTTTGTAAAATATAGAAGAAGTTAAATTTAACTTACGCGAGAAATGATTGTTAAAAATTCAGTAATGTCATGTAAGACAGTAATAATTCAGCTATTTAAACCATATTAGTAGTCTTTATGAAAAAGCTTAATAAGATATTTGATGTGATTTCGCAAACTGTCATAGTTCTGAAAACTAGTAGAGATTTTCTAATATATTTCTCTGAATGATTTTAAGCTATCTCATACTTTTGAAATATAAATATAATCTGATTTTTTAATACTTTCTCATAGCAAACATATTTAGTTCCTTCCAGATTCCTCAGATCAGAAACTGCTGCTGGTAACGAAAGATTAATAAGATAAAAACTTAAGCACGAAGACTAGAATAGAAACCTGAAAGAAAAAAAAACTGATTGTTCAAACAACGTGATAAAACTTAAAAAATTCAAAGAAATCGAAGGCGATAAATTTTATTTAACCTAAAATTCAACAAGAATAAGACAACCGAAACTTTCATTTGTAGAGTCATTAGGATTTTTTTAGAGGCAGAAAAGATGAAAAATAGCAAACTTGGCCGGGAATCGAACCATGGACCTCTGGAATACCGGCCCAGCGTGCTACCGTTACACCACGAAGGCACGCTAGGGAAGTGGGAGAAATACCTTATATACTCCCCTTTTTAAAGGGTGACTAGGGTTTTAGGGGACCTATTCGCCAAATCCTGGGTGCGGAGAATCATCATTCACAACTCTTTTAGTTCGGGCGCCACTTGTAGAGTCATTAGGTTAATTGGAAGGAGAAAAGAGGAAAAATATGCAACGCCTTCGCCGGGAATCGAACCACGGACCTCTGGAATACCGGCCCAGCGTGCTACCGTTACACCACGAAGGCACGCTAGGGAAGTGGGAGAAATACCTTATACATTTACCTACCGGTATCAAAGAGATCACTGTTTGACAAGATTAGGAGATGGTGTAACGAAAGTAAAATCATGACCAAATGAATGGAACCCGAAAATAATAAATGTGAAATTATGATATGATATTTATATAGATTTACTTAAATTTCTGCAAAAGGTGCATATTTGAATAAAGTGGTTTCCAATATTGAAAAATTATCAGACAAGCCAACAAGATCATCTGCAGAAGAATACATTAACACCGTGAAATGAAGGGCATTCTGTGTTTCGTGGGTAAAATACATGTATCTTGAAATTATTAGGTTGCATTATTCGCATGGTTTGAAGAATATCTTTTAATATAATAGATCATTGTCGAAAGGATCGACAGCCATCATTCCGCCATATATCCATATTTTCAACTTCTAGCATATTTGTAAACAGTTGCACGCCTATTTGGAAAGGTATTATCATTTGTAGGTAAGAATTTCTTACTTTCAAAACGTTTCCAGCAGCATTTGTAATGATCTGATCAGTTTGAGCAGCTTTAAGTTCCCTATTATCCAAGCTACAGAATCTGACAAATCGTTTTCATGAAAACATGTGTGAATATTCCGAAGAAATAATCATTTCATGTGCAGCAAAATTTCTGAGCGTTTAAATTTAAAAGGAATTTCTACCATTACATTTCTCTCTCTTGATTATGATTTATTTTTTCTTCCTTAAGTGGAGTCAACAATCACATGCTGTACATAGGAAATACATTAAATGAATTGTCCTTTCACAGACTATCTTCGAAGATAATAAAATGGTCACTTCTGTAGGAATGTTCATAAAACCTAATATCATTTCCTATTAGAAATTGATAATAAGAGTAGTAGTTATTTCCGATGAAATGGTAACTCTGGCTAGAACTTCTAACCGATCGTCTATCTATAGTAATCTATTTTTCTTCTTTCAGTTGTTGCAGTAATAAAAGGGATTATTTTCAGGTCTAATGAAAGAGCCACTCATTCGTAAATACTAAGCACACCAGTTTCAAAACATCTTAAGTTTAAAAACTTGCTTCCTATGAGGAATGGATCACCGATCTCATAAGTTAAAGATGTCGGCGTTTCATTCAAATTAAAAAAAAAAAAAAAAAAGGCACTCGATGCTTTTTATTTCGAATCGACTTAAAACGGATGAATAATTTATAAAAGTCGACCGGAATGTGCAAGAACGAAGATTAAAAAACTCTCTTTCATGGAAACAAGAAACACAAGAAAGATAGAATGGAGCATTTATGCTCAAACATTTTGTGGAGAAAATAAGTAAGTGTAGCTAAGAAGTGTAACTGAATCAGTAGAATTAATAAATAAGTAGCTTATAAAGAAGCATTGAAAATGTCTGAAATGCTCGAAATAGTAAGCTTCCATTTTATATTGTTATATAACAATTATTATTCCATTTTATATTGTATGGAAATTATGGTACGTAAATGTTTAAAATGCGAAAAGTAAGACCAATAACTCTTCTATTCGTCGTTTTTTCAAGCCTTCTCGTGGGTTAGCGTAACAAAAATAGTTTATCATCATATCAGTCCTCAAATATTCTCCTTTTTCACTGTTATAAGTATTAATTGCATTGGTATATTATGCAATTTATTCACAAAATATCTACAGCAAGTAAAATTTGCTATAATGTTATAGGTGTGTATGTTATGTCAAGTATTATCATTCATGGAAGTATTTTGGCAAGACATTGACTAGTATCTTTTATACATAAAACTTTAGTTGTAATGATAGTTGTATTGTTGTTATATGTATACTTTAGCTATTTTTACATATTTGGTCACATTGTTTGGTAAAAAGAAATTATAATCTCTTTCATTGCGTGTTTTTAAATGTAATTCGAGTTATCCCGTGTTACGCATCAAAGGTTCTTAACTTCTACTCCGCTACGTTTTTCTTTAGCTTAAGATTCTTATTATTCTAACTCGTACTATAAGTTTCTTCGCATTTGTAGGCAATTATCGAATCTCCTGAAAGGCAGCTAACATTAAACGAAATATATAATTGGTTCCAGAATACGTTTTGCTACTTTAGAAGGAATGCGGCAACGTGGAAGGTAAGAGGTGTTTTCAAACATTTCCTATAATTTTAGTGAATTTTTGTTTGACTTTTTCCTATCTTTTTGTTAATAAATTTCAGAACTAAAAAAAAATTAAATTGCAAGGGTAAATTGTACAAATAGGCAAAAAATTGTATTTTATAGACAAACTAAAAACTTAATATTTTTATGTAAGTAAAATACAAAACTATGTACTTCCTCGAGTATTTAATCGTGTTACATTAATATACTTCAAAATTTCCTGTTGATAATTTCTAAATGTCATACTTCCTATGCAACATGTACTTCGAAAAGGAACGTTAAAAATTATTGCATTAAAAAAAATTTATTAAAGAATATTTTATCATGACAAGAACTACAACGTTTTTCAAAATCCTAACATCCTTTACTGATGCCAAATACATTAATACAGTCTTTTACCGTCAAGAAAAACAGTAATGTGCATAAGTATTAAGACTCATAATTAGTCTTTTATAAACAAATACCGTCATTTTCTATGGTCTGAAAATCAAGTTTATCGAGCCAATACGTTATTGTACTGGGCATAATAAATTCGCAGAACCTGCATATTGTGCAGTAACGACTGAGTGGGTATTTTAAAATACGTTTCTCATTTAGCATTTCTTTATCCTGATGATATACTAATAATTGTCTTAAAAGCATATGAAAGATATATACAGAAATACGTTTTACATGTCTGTATTTTGTTTTTCTTTTTCCAAAGTCCTGTAAGGTACAGCGATTTTCATAAAATATTAACAGTCCTCAGATGACAAGATTATCAGCAAAACGACTTCTGTGGAAGGTTATTTGGAGCATTTATTCAAAATTTATGTTAAACTGTACGGATTTAAATAATTATGCTCTGTGTGCTGTTTGGTGCATCGGTTCCATTGTTCAAAGACTCTGAATTGAGTTCGAATTCCAATATTTCGAAGGTCCCGAGTTGAATCCATGTTCAAACAATACGAAGGTAACGAATTCTTAGCAAAATTAGGGTGTAATTTTTTTTAATCTCCTTAAAACGTAAATGCTACTGCCACGAATTGATATACAAAACTGAGGATTAAAACACAGTTTATGAAAATGTGCAAGAACTGAAGATTAAAACACAGTTTATGAAAATGTTCAATTATCGGAAGAATTAACTATAGAGAGAAATTAATAATAGAAAGAATGACCTGACTTCAGAAAATTGTTACATTGCTAAATGCATACATTCCATTCACTTAAATGAGAAAATATTAGTAAACTGTATAACTGCTCCGAATTTGCAAAATGCGGGTACATTTTTTAAAAGATTTAAACATTTCTTTCAGTATTTACCCTATTAGTTTGTAATTTATCAGAAATCTCAGCTTACATGCCTAAAACTCCGAAAAGTATAGCCATCCGAAAACTTCAAGCTGTAGATATTAAAAATTTTCTTAAGCTTAACTGCTTGAGGAAATCCATCTTTCTCTTCTTCAAAGAACTGCTTGATGTGAAAGTTTCAGTTTTTCTTTCTGCAAATTATGCTATAATAGCTCCGTATGGAAAATACACTAGAATTTGAAGCTTTGAGTCTAAGAAGTAAGTCTAAGAACTCTTCATTATTCTCTCATAATATGAAGATATGTTACAGAGAAAACTATCATCATCGTGAGGTCTCTGAAGTTCGCAGCTGTATGCTCATCCCATATCACATTTGCAGTAAAACTTCTGCAAAAGCTCTGAAAGCTATATGGTAGTAGTTCCTGTCCTTTGGTAGTAATCGCAAGCAATTTAAATCAGTCTTCGTTGCATTTATTTGCTCATACACAGAATATTATTATCGAGCTTCGTCGTTTTACTGCTATGCTTCAAAGAGTTCAGACGTTACAGAAAATCATTTGCCTAAAATAAAACTACTACAACCTACAACCTTGTAATTGTAACCTACAACCTCGCTGAAAAACTTTTGCAACGAAAAACAAGTATTTAATTTTTTGATAAATAAATATGCTTCACATTTTTTGGTAGTATGCCTTGTCTGTGCTCTTTGCGATTCCCTTCTTTACAAATTTCAGAGTGGAAGCTTAATATTAATTCTTTGAGTAGAGAAGTTTCATTCACAGGCTGTTTTATGTAGGTGTCTAAATTCGTGCAAAGAAACACCGTTTTATCGAGCAAAGATTTATTATCGCATTCATGTTTCAGAGCACATGTGATTTCAGGTCAAAGCTATATTTATAACAATGTATCTAGCATAAGTAAAGGTTGTTCGGCTACAGTGATAGAAACAACCTTTGAATTTTCGTATGGTTATTTTACGGTAGGATGCCATCAAATGATCATTCAAATGATTAAATTTAAACGTCAGCCTCGGTGTACGATTAATCCTATCAAATAAAAATTAGAAATATAAAGCCACTCTACGAATACGTTGATATATGTGAACCATTATTCAATATAATGATTGCTCAAAAACGAAAGAATGTTAGAACTTCCACTAATACAACTCGCGCATTATTTCCGATTCAGCGCAACTGTGTAATTAGATTTCTTCAGCGATAGAGATAATTTATATTATTCAAACTTAGTAAGGAGTCACCTGGTTACATATCTATTATTATTTAGTATTCTTGTTTGTTTTTAGTGTCTGTATATTTTGTTTTCATTATTTTATATGTCTTGAAAGTATATTACTGAAATATGTATGAATCCTTTTAGTTGTAACTAAATTTTTATGTCGGCTGATGTCCAAATATTAAGTAATTTAGTGCCATTTAAATGCTGTATTTTCAAATACACAAACTGCTGAGCTGTAAAAGGGATCGCCCTCTGCAAACCTAGCAGCTTCAGTGAACAGAAGCTGAAATAAATTTTAAAAAATTTGATGATAAAAAGATGTTACATAGTTTAAAAGTTAATATTTTTACAGGTCTTCTTTTTACAATACCAGGCAATTAAAAATAATTCAATTTGCGACAAACTTTTTATCACAAAATAACTGGAATTTACTTGAAATCCACCAATAGTAAATATTTTTAGAACATAATAATTTACCAACCGAAATTCGTAAGAACTATAATGGGTTAAAAATCTGAAATCGTCTTAAGTCTCTCAACTACATTCCAGAACAAAAATATTTATTCTGATCAAAACCTAAAAGGAGTTTTTTTAAAAAAGAGGATCTGAAGGAAATTATAATACATTAATTGGTACCTACTGCGAAACGGATTCACTAGGCTACTGCGAAACGGATTCACTTTACTGAGTGAATATGCTTCGATATCAGAAAAAGGAGCTCATTTAAGTTCACGAATAGCTGTTGTTGGTGGAAGCGTACCAGGAAAGTTCGTTTCTCATATTTAGGAGAGACAAGAATAATTATCCTCTCATCTTAAAAATGCGTTTAATTTTTATACACTAATGTTTGTGAAAATGCAATACCATGAAGGAATTGTCGGAAATGAATATAATTGATTCCATATATTATTGATAGTGGTGCAGATAAACTATCAGATTGACCAGAAAAGAAATGAACGTCGGAAATCATTACTTTGTGTGTCTGCCAAGCTGAGCGATAAGAGCCTGTACACGTCGTGGCGTTGAATCATACAGGTTCTGAATGTAATCCTGGAGAATGGCATTCCATATGGCTTTGACTGTGTGTGCCCCACCAGCTATACGAGAGAGTCGTCGACCAATGAAATCAAAGGCATGCCCAATAGGCGACATATCTTGGAAATAAGCAGGCCATGAAACAAGCTAAACCTGTTGTTCCCTTAAGAAGGCTTCTGCGGTTTGAGAAACATGTGTACGGGCATTATCCTGCTGAAATACAGATCCCGGAATGCGTCGAAGAATGGAGAGGACCCCTGGCTCCACAACTTTCCTTATGAAGCGATTACTATTGAGGTTGCCCGCAATCTGCCCTAGATGGGATCGACAATTATACCCCATACCTCCCTACACTATGATGCTAGACGTTTGGACAGTATGACGCTGGGTAACACACTGTGGGAGCAGATGTTCCCTTCTGTAACGTCTGATGCGTACTCTTCCATCACTGTACTCCAGAATGTAGCGAGGTTCATTGGAGAAAACAACTTGTTGCCACAGGGCATGCCGCGCACTGTGTTGCCGTGCCCGTTGAAATCGGAAATATCTGTGATTCAGTGACAGGGAATCCTGCGTAGAAGAAACACTGCACGCAATTCATGCTGCAGCAGACGGCGACGAACTGTGGAGCTAGACAACACAACACCTGTAGCCGTGCTCCAACGTTGTTCTAACACACGAGAGGACGTTGCACAATGCGTTAAGCCATGCGGATGAGGTGTCTGTCGTCTCGTGCCGTTGTGCTATTGCGTACCCTACTGCCTGCACTTCGCTTTATTTGTTTCTCCTCTGTCCATTTCTTCTAAACACGCATAATTGTTGTGGCATTACGGTGTGTGCGGGCTGCGATTGATCGATACGAAAGTCCACCCTCTCGCATACCGATGATGCGGCCTCTATCGAGCCCCGTTAGTTGCTGGTACGGCACTCTCCGCTGCTGTCGAGGCATATTGACCACTAATTAAACGCTAGTCGCTGACAGAGGACAATAAAGAGATTTCAACGCAAATTTACGGTCCTTTATGTATATGGAACAAGCGGCTGGTTCTCATTCCACGCATGCGCAACAGCTTTATAACTCTAATCATTTACATGTCTTACTTCACTTTACATTTCCTGTAAGTCTGGTTCAATTTGCTATTAATTCCTGCGTTGTGTTACAATTTTTACAAGCATTGGTGTATTTTTCCAACTTTTTGAAAAATTTTTATTCTAGAATTTTTTTATTCGTTCTTTGTAGGGAGGAGGTTTTAGGGAATATCAAAGCTATAGCTGAAAGAAATCAATTCATAGGGCTTTTGATTGAATCGATTTTTCCGAGCTGACGGCTCGTTCGATTCTTTTCACATTTTGGTTTAGGGAACATGAAAGTCAGTAATGCTCTGATTCGAACTTCGGACCTTCCCTTTGCTAGCGGGACGTGCTTTCCAATTACACGGCGAAAGTACGCAGTAAGGAAGGAGGAAATTCTTTATAAAATATATCTAAAAAAATTCATGACCTGACATGAGATATATTGTAACACCTGTCAAGGGTTCGATATATCTTAATTAGCTATCTTGCAAGTTACTTTAGGTATCACGTTGATTTCCATGAGTGAGTTCTCATCATGAGAATTAACAAACTTTTCAGACAGACACAAATAAAAGTTACCTTTATTCTTTTTTACCTTACTATTGTTCATTTAAGTATTTGGGTCAAATTTTATTTAAATTTTCATTTTCTTTTCCCACTGAAACAAATCTTTCCTTTCTAATGTTTTCCTTTTTTTTTTGTTTTTTTTTTTTTTTTTTTGTTTTTGTTTGTAGTGTTTGTAATAACACTATTTTCTGAAATATGGCCTAATCTCTTTCTTAAATTTAAGGTAACAGACATGTTTCAAAAGCCCTGATTCGGCTAAATGTAGCAGTGTTTTTATTCGTATTTTTGATACTCAGAAACTACTATTTTATTGTATTTGTTAGTATTTTGGCTATATCTTTGTTAGTATTTTGGCTATAACCGAAGATGTGATAGATTTTAGAATCTCTGGATAGGAATTAACGTCTACCGCTCCAACACGAAGTCTCAGAAGCCTGATTAATAAATATATTTGCCAGTTTTTATTCATTTTGGCTGAACTTTATTATTTAAAACAATACAAAATACATTTAAAGAATCTGATAATGTAATTTGGTTACATAACTTTGCGTTTGATTTTTTTTAAATCTAGTTTAATGTTGAGTTTACATGGTTATAATTTTCCTTAGTCTCTGCGGTTAACGTTAGCCATTTTTTAGGGGGGGAGCGGTATTTCTACCAAGCATGAAACATGTGAGAGGTAGTGCTGCTAAAATATCGGTACATTTCATCTCGTGTAAAGAAATTAGTACTTATGGATAAACCTCGATGAAAACACAGTCACACTGATTAATGTGGGTAATATCGGGAATGACGTACACGATTAATCCAAAATCCCACATAATCGGAAGGCAAGAACGCAAAAAAAGTGAATATACCATATTATAACTAGCAAAAACATTTTATTGGCAATTTGCTTGCATTTTCAGCCAGTTTAATCTACAAAATAATGATGTAATTTAAATTTGCATCCAAAGGTCTTTCCCGTTTTCAAGTGCACGCGCAACCTCTTTATTTGTCTGCTTCTTAATATCTCTGTGTACGTTTCCTTCTGGCTTGACGGTGCACAATTTGTCTGTTTTTGTTTACATTACCCTTAAATATTGAATAACAGTCAGTGTGAAACTGAAAATTAATAACGGTATATTTGATTTATTTTTAAGAATACGGAAATTATTTTAGTACATAATTTAACAGTGTTTGTATATTTTGAATTACGTATAACTTAATTGCGCACTATTGTGCGTAAAAACAATTTTAAATTATTTTGACATCATATGCTGTCACCTCTATAAATTCATAGTCATTTTCAAAGGCTCTGCAATAGATAGGTTCGTCTAGATTAGCTCAGAGTATTTCAATACGGCAAATCACTCGAAGGCTGTCTGCCTAAGGAGAGGAAGGCCTTCATGGAGGGCTTTGTAAGAGAAAATGGTTCGTATTCATGTTATACGTTTGTAAAACCACAAAAACCTACCACGCAGCTAGCTCATTCGCATGTGTTCAAACCTGGATCTCTTAAACAGTCAGACTCTGTTGGTACGAGTAATAAGTAGACGACGCCCGATTACTCTTCGCTAAGGGTAACTGTTAGTCAACTATATCAGGAATTTCAATTCTTTTGAATATTATCTAATTCATACTTTTTGAAGTCCAAAATATTTAGTGGCTAAATAGCTTTTGATGAAAAGTCATGCTTCCGCGTGTGTTCTTACTTCATGTTAAGTTGTACATCTTGCAGTTTCGGCAAAATGTTTTCTTCTTTAGCGGAGGCGGCTGAAGCATGTGACGATAAGCCGTAGGTTTACATTTACATACTGAAAAATGATTTACATCGGTTGAAACTTCTTCTGCAGCTCTGCAACTTGCCACCCTCAAACCAACAGCTTTCAAAAAAGTTGAGATGGAATTCTCTGATCTTATTGTAGTAGTGGCTAGCACCTGCATGATAAATTCAACTAAAGTTCAGCACTAAATTCAGCGTGTGAGCAATTTTTTTAATAGTTTAATCTCGAAACAGTGCACTTAAGTGTCCGTAATTACTAGACTGAAGTCAAAGGATTAGCCATAGCTTTAAATAATGGTTTCTGTCGTAATACCAATATCCTCGTGTTATTATCTCGCTTCAGAATGTTATGTTAACTACTAAAGTGTGTCTTTAGGATGTACCTCTAACTGGCACAACGATATAATAACATTTACTTTTTTATATTGCTAATAATATAAAACAGCAGGTTTAACCACTTTAGATGATTTTTAAATGCTTGCATTTTAATTTTACTCATAATATATAATATGTATAGAAATTTATATATCTTCATACTTATTTAATGTTTGGACATCATTGTGAATTGTATTCTTTGTAATTTATTTTTTCTTTCCTAAAAACCAATTTAAATTTCAAGTTAATTTGATAAATGATCTAAAATAGAGATTTTTATACAAACACTTCATAGGATTAGTCGAAGAAATATGTCTTCATTCCTTTTAATCGTTCGCTATTTAATATCAAATAGAACTTAGAACTCGTGCAAAAAAAAAATTGTGCTTTTCACATATACTGCACCTTTCCAAAATTCTCCTTTTAAAAACAGATTTCTGAACTCTGTCCCAAATGTGCCAAACCTATTTTTCTAGTGTACTGCTTGATAGTTTCTAGAAAAGCATTCTCATTCAGCTGCACCAGAACTTTTCTGGATTCAAAATCTATCGAGATTCAAGGCAACCGACTGCATCCCATATTTCACCTTGAAAGAGTATACTATTTTTAATAGTAAAGTACTTTTTGTAAAAGAAGATGTCTCTTATTGTTAGAATGCAGTACGACACAACCTCAGCTTGCACAAATGTTTTATGCGAGTAGAGAATATAAAAGGTGCAGTGTGGACAGTGGACGAAATAGAATTCTACAAGCGCAGACCGCAGCGATTGCAGGAGCGCATTGGGTATGTTTATGTGTACAGTGGATATTGTTTATGTTGTGTGTCATTCTAGCACAGTCAATAACACTCAATTTTTTCTCTCTTTCTCCCTCTCATTTCACTTCCTTTCCTGACTCGCCATACCTTTCATATTCTGTTCATTCTTCTTGTGTTGGCTGCTTTTTCTTCACAATCTGGTCCTGCATTTATGTTTATCCCTGCTGCCTACACCCACATGCTATGTATGCATCCTGTCACATCTGGATGGCCCATAATGTCCCTTCCTACGTTCCCACTTCTTTCTGCACAGAATGCAATACGCACCAACCTGTCCCTCCATAAGTGTTTTGTACGATATGAGGATGACTTTGGCTCGTTCTGGATGGTAGATGACTGTGAGTTTGTCAACAGACGTCATTTGAGTCGTGGACGGCCGAGAAAGTTTCCGGAAACGAACGAGCATTATCCTGTTTCACAGTAAGCTTGCTTTCTACCTCTTTTGCTCTTTTCCTCTTTCCATCTGCACCTCATGTATTTTTGCAGCCGTTTGCAGGTAATAATTGTCAGTACATATGATGCACTACCTAATTTGTGATAAAGGTCTAGTTGAATAGACATTGTTTCTCAAATTTTTATTTCTTTTTTAGATGCAATATAGAACGAACAAATCTAGCACTTATTTACTTAAACACAAAAATAAACCGTAACTGGTTGCATTTATTCTAGAAGTATTCTAAAATATGATGAAACCAAGATTATGAATCCAAAGCAATGTACGTTATATAATGTCGAAAATTATCCCTTCTGTTTCTTTATCCTAAATAAGGGAATTTTATAAAAATAATGATTTCTCCAAATTTACTCTTAAATATGAACCATTGGAATGTATTTTGAAAGTTGACGGTCATTTAAAAAGGTCTTTGCAAAATTTTAAGTAATTTTAAGAGAAATTCTTTCAAAATAAATGCTAGTTCAAAAACGTTTCTGGTGTATTTTAATGTAAGCATTTAATAATAACTTTAAACGTCTTTGCTGAAAAATTTGGTAACATTTCATAATAGTTTATCATAACTAATTAATATTCATTATTATTATTAATAATAGTTAATAAATATTTCATATCATAACTAATTTATGTCATTATTTATAATAACCGACTACTACATATTATAAAAACTACTATTTATAACCAACTACTATATAATTTGATTATAATTAAAGCCATATTTTCTATTTTAATTCTTTAAACTTGATTACATAGTTTTTAATAATTAATGAGGTTCAGGAAATTTGAGAATTCTCATGAAAATGTATTAATTTCTAATAAATCATAAATAAAAATTTAAATACATTCTTTGGCTGAGGGACGAAGCAGCCCGAAAATATTGTTTCATCATAATGAAATTTCGCAGGAAAATATCTCATTGCCGAATACGCTAATGACTCATAACATAATAGCCAAATTATGGTTTTCCAAAGAGCACGAAGAGTGCGCATCTGTGAAGGATATACACAAAGTCCGAGACAAAACATACAATCCTGGACAATTGTATCATATTGTGTGTACATGAGCTCATACGGACGATAAGGATGCAACATCGGATATAAGCATTTTAGAAAGGAGGTCGGTTTTAGTTTTTAGTTCAATGATATCAGTTGGTTCAGCCGCCGTATGCCCAGCTATTATGTAAAAGCGGCGCGTAGTCTGAGGAGGTTGAAGACATCGGTCATTATTTTTTTCATTACTTTTTCGAGGTTTTATAGCGTATTACTGTTGTTTTGGGCTCAGTCCAAGGTTAGACCTATTTTCGAATTCGTTCGAAGCTCTTGATGTATCTTTGCATCAGAAGGCAACAAAAGCCGTTAGTTGTTCACTCGTCGCGACCATCAGAAATTCAGAGATCATCTTTCTTAAAGCCGAAGAGGTGAAAGTGCACGGCAAAGAATAATTATCTGTTATATATTAAGTCAGATAAACATTCCCACTAATAATTTCTTTCCATTTGGTTTATTTTGATTATGGCAAAGCACGCTAGGGCTATCTAACTTCTTTCTCCACGTTAAGAGAGAAAGTGAACAGAAGTATTACCAGATAATTTAAGGAAGGTGAAATGCATTTTAAGAGGTTTCTTTACCTATCTCTAATAAGTGGTCATCGTGAGTACTAACTTCAGTGCTGTCTTACGCGAACAAAAGGGACAGTATCCAATGGAGTTACAGGTATTCATTGATGAGAGATGATTAGTGTCAGGTGCACATTCGTATTTGAAAATTGGTCTGCGAAGAATGTATGTATTCTGCTTTTAGTACAGAATTCCATAATATTTCTTCTCTAGGATACTTCAGGAGCCGTTTCTTATGTTATTCGAAAGCCATCGGTATCCTTCTTACCACTTTCTCGGAAGCACTGCCTGGACAACAGTACGACAGTCTGTGATTTATTACGTTCCTCTCTTCTTTCAGAAATTCAGCAACACACGCAGTAACCGACCATATATGGAACGACCCTTCCAGCGAACTTTTTGCGATACTTATGCCATCCTAGGTCAGATCAACTTCTCGATCTCTCCTTTTTCTACCATGCTTGAGTTATAGTATAATAACGCCAAAGCTCATCTTGGAATTTCGAGGACTTGGGTAGCCAGTTTTTTTTTTTTTTTTTTTTTTTTTTTTTTTTTTTTTTATGTAGGATCTTCTAAGCCTGCGGCCACTATTTGTCAACTAGAGGTTTCTCATTACTGAGAGCTAGAGCTTATTGATGTCGCTCCTTATTGTCCTGTTTTTCGAAGATTCCCTGCGGGTGCGCCGGTTTATATATACATAAGCACACACACACACACACATATATATATATATATATATATATATATAAAATGAAAATGCTTTCTAAGTAAAAAGTTCTTAAATTCTATAAATAATATGTACTAAATTTAGTAATCTTCGAATGCCTGAAATTTTAATATTAAATTTAAGGGTTTTTTTAAATCAAATTCAGTATTTTTAAAGCATTTTTCATATAGTGTCAAAATAATGTATGAGCCCATTTGCTTTTTATAAAAATATTTTGTGATAAAATTGAATTCGTTTATGGTAATTCATTCATTAAAGTAGTCGAATTTTGATAAATAAATGTGCTTCTTTCTGTACTTATGGTTAAGATCACTTTGGAAATTTATGCGTTTTTACATAAAACAATTCTATTCAACTATTCCTTAGTAAATATTGTTATATTAACTGTTTCATAGATTTCTTTAAACATGTTATTTATTGTGTTGTTTAAAATTTATAACTTTAAATTTACGGGCATTTATTTGTAACCACAGATTTGTGCTCTTTTGTTGCAAAAGTATAAAATTAATTTGAACCAAAATCATTACTTAGAAGTTTGATGGAATAATACTTTTGAATTCCTATCAAAGCTCTGAAGCCCTTGTAGTGTATGAAAAACTTGTACGCTACACCCTATGTATATAATTTAAATAATTTACACACACATATATATATATAATGTATCAACTATATATATATATATATATGTATAATGTATCAACTAGATATATATATGTGTGTGTGTGTGTGTGTGTATGTATAAACTATATATATATATACGTATCAACTATATTATATATATATATGTATTAACTGTATATATATATAATTAATACGTATAATTGATTTTTATAACTAAAGGTCATTGTGAAATTACAAAATATTTCTACTTACATTATCACACATCAAATCGTAATGCTTCAGTTTTAGTGGATTATTTTGAAGAATTCAAGCTGTTAATTTATTAACTGACGATTATTAAGTTCAACGTGTTTTTGGTTGCTGTATCCTTGAAAACTAAAAACGCGCTTCAGGATAATTTTACATTTATGATTATGTGCTGTTATTTTTCTACAAAAGGAAAAAAATAAATCTACTTCTTGTTTGTGTATCTTTGCATCAGAAGGCAACAAAAGCCGTTAGTTGTTCACTCGTCGCGACCATCAGAAATTCAGAGATCATCTTTCTTAAAGCCGAAGAGGTGAAAGTGCTCGGCAAAGAATAATTATCTATAATTTTTATCCTGAGCTAATTTTTCAAGTAAAACAATTTTTTGTACTGAGGTGTTTTATATCCCTTCACACCATTTCTAGGTGATATATTTCGATACGTTATCTAGATGTCACAGCATTTCTAAACGATACTTTACAGTTAATAGTAAATAAAATAAAATATTTCAAATTATTGCAGTACTAGTTAAGAGATCTCCTAATATTAAAGTTTTGAAGTTTTATCGTTAATAAAACCTCCAAATTTAACATCTAATAACAAAAGAATACATGCAATAACCGAGAAAATTCAAATGTGAAGTGTAAGATGGGGGGGGGAAAGGAATGCTTCCAAGCTTTAAAACTCCTATTTCCTATTTTTATTTTTGTTTACTTTTATCATATAACATAAAAGGAAAAATATTTATATTGAAATATTTTTTATTTATGTAATTTTAACTTATATTATAAGACTGGTTACTAATATAATAACGAAGAATGTAAAATGTGGGAGTCAGTATTATTTTTATTAATACTGTGTTGCTGAAATGTTTATGTGGAAAAATAAAGCGTTTGAATAGCTTTGAACGCATTTAGAAAATTAATTTAGCTTGTAAAGACCTTCTTTTGTTCTAACCAATTATTTTTATTTCAAGAAACTTTTCTTTCCCTTCTGATATCAATTTCCTGCCAGAATGCGAATTTAAATGACGTATATTCAAATCTGAGTGAGTTCGGAAACAGTATTTAAGTAGCAGATTTTAAGAGTTTTCGATAGGAGATTTAGTCTCAATTTATGCCGTGTGTTTGAAAGTAGCGCCGAAGTTGAATAGTTCGGTGCTAGCCACTTACTTACAGATTATATTAATATACGCTCAGCTTTGCTGTGTGCAGCTGGTTAAGCGGTTTACACTGAGTGGAGCGAGTCGTGAAGCTAAGCTTTAATTTATTGTGATTGTCATACTATTTTGTGTTCAATTTACTTAGCCACAAGTGGTGGTTAATTTCTAAGCACCGAGTGTTTTCTGTTCCTTTTAGATAAAATAAAAAGGTTGTTATAACCTTTGTCTGCAGTCAGCTGTTCGAGACATAGCGAGAACTCGCAACTTCGTCCTTCAGTAGGAGTCTATAGTTTATGCTTCTAAAACAAACAAGAAGGCTCTAGAAGTGGCCCCACTTTGGGCGCCACTTGTAGAGCCTTCTTGTTTGTTTCTTCCACTATTGTTTCCGAAGTCACTCATATTTGCATATACGTCATTTAAATTTGTATTCTGCCAGGAAATTGAAGAAAAGGTTTTTTAAAATCAAAGTGATTGATTTGAACAAAATAAGGTCTTTACAAACTTGCCATGGTGAAATGGATAATGCATAAAATGTTCAGCGTTGGGATTTGTGCAATACTAAATTTAATGGGAAAGTGAAAGGACAATAAATCTTATTGTCAGATCACTTACACATACATAAAAATTTAACAAAAAGTACAAATTCATGGAATTGCCTCAGTGAATCGTAAATGCAGAATATCACCAGAATTTTTTTAAATAAGCTGGTCATAGAATCACAGCACTTAATGTATATTGGTTTCATGTTACTGTAGATAAAGCACGTGAAAATAATTGTAGTAGAAATAATCCAAAACCATAACGCGGCATGTCCGAGTAAGGTTGGTGTCAAGCATGATCCCCGATAACACAGATCTGGGCGCCACAATTTCAATCACGGATATCTAAGATATTCAAAATTTCTAAAATCCAAAATCTCTACAAACTAGTTTTCTGAAATAAAATAAATAAATAAATAAAATATTTTTTAAATGAAGTCGTTTTCCATTTTTTAAAGTGATTAACTAAGAAATAAATAAAATCTAGTCAGAACTCTTCATACGCAATGAAATATGTGCTAATACCATTTCTGAAAATATAATCTCTCGCGTATATCAATGGCAGTAGCATCATTTGACAGTTATGAGCAGACCTAAACGTATTCGAGAGTTTAGCATTATAATTTTAGAAAATTCTAGAAATGCGTTTCGGATTAGAAGCCAAATCGGCTGTGATAGGTAATGTTAACTGAATATGGCAAAGCTCGTGAGAGTTATATGCCTAAGAAGAGTTATGCCTTCGTGGAGGGCTTGCTAAGGGAAACTGGTTCATATTCACGTTATACGTAGGGACGACAAAGGTCAATAAACAGACAAGGTTATGCTTTGTCAGGGACAAACCTTTCTCTTCGCACCGCGAGACAATGACGTGTCTTATCTATGCGCTCAGACTTACGCGTCAAAGACATCGACGTCACCTTGTTGTTTGACCTTGGTTGAAAACAGTAAACTTTGGGGAAAACAATGAAAATTGACCATGCAAGCAAACCATTCGCCTGGGATCAAACACTCTGTATTCAGCAGCCTTAACTACTACATTACTAATAAGACTGGGCTATGAAAGGTAGCTGAAATTTAATACTGAAAGTAGAGCAGCTTTCAACAGAAGCTGTTATTCTTCCTTCTTTAAATGCAATATAATTGGCAAAATTTTAAAATTGTTTTATAAAAATGCATTTCTCAGCAATACTGTTTCATACCTGAATTATAATTTAATAAATATGCATTTTTATCAAAAAAGTCTAATATTGTGCAATTTCATTTCCTTTTAAAAGTACAAACTTTACTGCATGGTAGATAATTATAAGACACTCAAAAATGTTAGAGAGAGATCCAAGCAAAATATTGTCAAATATACTGTCTCTCTATATTGTCCAAAGCAATATAGGGAGTAGCACATAAGAATCTGAACGTTTCCACGGTAATATTCTGAAGGAGAAATATATATGTGAACGCTGTTAGAAATAGAAAGCGAGCTTTACAATTTATTGAGATATATTCAAGTTTTTCAAAATTTCATTGGAAAATAATATACATTATAGTTCATGCATTGTTATTGTAAAATATAATTTTTGAGTAAAAATAATATTGATTGTTTACTTTGTTATGTTAATGGCTATTCTTTCAAAATCTTGAAGGTGTCTTATGATTTTGTCTCATACATTATAAGAAAGTATTTCCATCAAACTCTCTTCGCAAAATTATGAATGTTATTTCCTTTCATACTAACATAAGTCATACATTTCATTAAAGTTTTTTTCCTAATCTTTTATTCGATGCTTTATCTTCTTATCTAAAGATTATATGTGAATTATTTTGTTTTCTGGTTTTATAGGACACTCTCTCTTGGTTTACAGCAAGAAGTTCAAAATTCAACAGCTTGTTCAAAGGGATATACAGATCCTCTCACCACATCATCCCAGGTATGTATGTGAGGTATGTTGTATTTCAGCTCTATACGAGACAAAAATTTTATGTGACAAATTTTAACTGATTATCATCCGTTGTTGCTCTTTATTAACTGATTATAAAACATTGCTGGCTGGATGGTGAAAATATGCCCAAAACTTTCCATTTTCGCCTCAAAATTTCAAGAATTAATTATAATACAACGAACTGAAAATTGTGTTTACAATTATCTGCAAAAATTAGAAGTATTTATGTCCTAATTAACTCCCGTTGAAAATGTGCAATTATATCAATAACGTTTATGACTAAATGGAAAATAAAAAAAGCTGAAAAGTTTATAAGACATTCTTCTAATACTGATTTCAAATAGTGTAATACTGATTTCAAAGATTGAAATGAAGCATATCGGCAAATGTGAGGAGTTTTAAATACAAAGAGTAGATCAATGTGGATATCATTAGTTAAAAATAAACTTGTAAGATAATCGTAATAAACAGTGGCTTTAATGTAATAAAAAAATGGCAACTAAACCTTCTAAACTGCAGTTAGCCCAGAAGCACCCGAAGGCTGGGAGTAATGTAATATTAGCAGTTTGCTTAAAGAAAGATTTCCACCTATATACTTTTTTTAAAAGTTGAATTTTTTATACATATCTTTAAATTCATGTGGTTCTTACTTTTCGAAAATCCAACATTTCTTCAAATACTACTGCAAAATAGTTATTTGGATACAATTCAAGAGTGTGTCTTCCAAAGTACACATCAGCTGAGAACAAGTAATTCAAATAAGAAAAATTTCGTCATCTCAAAACTTAACCTCAGCTATGTAAAAGAACTTCACCATTTAATAGCACATAATTTCATTTTTGAAGGTATAGTAACAGTAAGTCACACGTATATAGGGTAGCAAAGCTATATATAATGTCTCTATAGTGGCGCCCGAACTAAAAGGGTGTTAAATGATGATTCTCCTCACTCAGGATTTGGCGATTGAGTACTCTAAAAACCCCAGTCGCTCTTTAAAAGGAGGAGTATATAAGGTATTTCTCCCGCCTTCCTAGCCTGCCTTCGTGGTGTAGTGGTTCTGCACGCTGGGCCGTTATTTTCAGAGTTCCATGGTTTGATTCCCGGCGAAGGCGGTTACTAATTTTTCATCTCTCCGGCTTCCAAAAATAACCTAATATCTCTACAAGCTGTAAATCAAATTTTTTGTGTATCTTCTTGTTTCAGATAAGTAGTTAAAGCTGTGGAGCTCTGATCTCCTCTTTGGATTACCAGTGGTGTAGCTGCTCAGAGGGATAGTGGTTAGTGACGTTGACTGCCGTACCGAAATTCCCAGATTCAAATACCGGAGAAGGCAAAGATGTTAAGCGTACATCATCTCTGCGGCAAGGGGAGACTCAAAATGTACGGCCAGATGAAATCCTTTGGAGAGTTTGAGGTAGCAGAAAAGGAGTTGGAGATCCTAGGGCAGCTCCCCCCCCCCGATGGTCTTCTTCGGAATTTTATTACAGGCGTATGCTTAGCAGTTAACAAGGCCAGGTGATATGCTTACATGGATGCACAGGTGCCGGCCTTGCTTCAACCTGTATTTGTACGGGTGGTTTAATTGGCTGAACAGATGAAATTTTCGAGGTTTTCTTCATTAATACTTAATGAAGTTAATAGTGGCCATTTTTCTTTGTAAAATCCTTCATGAAAGATTAGTTCTCATAGATACATAACTTGCCATAATTAGATAATCCAATTTAATCTCCTTATTTCAATCTCTTGCGCAAATATCTCCTCCGTTTTTCATGTTTTACAATTTTTTGATCAAGTTGCTTAAGACAGGTAGTTTAGTCCTGGTCCAAATCCAACCAAACTAACGGCGCCTGGCTTTCTGAGAAGTTTTCGTGGTTTACACCCATGCATAGCGGGAATGCGAGACAGTTTCTCTTTAGGTTCCTCCACGAAAGCATCCCGTGTAAAGTTTTTCTTTCTCCTTACCGCGTGTCTGCGATGTGTTATTGGAAAGCATTGAATAGCAGTCGGAAAGTCCGGAGTTCGAGCACATTTTTCCCCTCTTCTGTTTGAAAATAAAATACCTAATGATCTCTACCCCGTTTTCTTAAACAGAAAGCCTTCGCGTGCTTTACTGCAATCCTCTTTTATCGGTTTCCTGTAAGGAAATATTCTGGGTTTCCTATTTTCAGTGGTATATCAGTATTTCAGTGGTTCTTATTTTCAGGGATATAAATATTTTCCTTTCCGATTTCCTCATACTCGATAAAGATCAGTTCAGTGTATGTGAAATCTTTTAATTTCTCGTATGAGCGTCATGCATATTTTGGTAAAGTTTTGTTTTGAAAATTACTTCACTGTGCCATGGATTAAATTTCCAAACACTTCTTTTTTTTTTCAGAACAATTCTAGCAAACTACCCAATTACCTATCGATAAAATCTGTAAATGATGTCACTCCCTTATCCTCCCATGCCGTACCATCATCAGGCAATATGACATCCTGTCCACTTGATGCTGATAACTTTGTTTCGAGTCTTATGTGTCATAGCATGGAAATGGCATCAAAGTAAGTTTGCATTATTTTTATTTTTTTTTCTATCATTTATCCGCATCAAACTATAAAACTAAATGTAATATATTTTGTTAATTATTGATCAATATTAGAACAATTTACGTGAAGAAAATTAAATTCTGCACAAATAAGTGAAATCTTCAGGCATGAGTTTGTAATACAAGTGTAGGGCACGGTAATGTTTAATTGCAGTTAAACTTATTTATTTTTGTATGTGTTTTCTTTATAAAGCATTTCTATACTGCGCAATGTTATGGAACGTTACTCGGGTTTTTAATAATATTTTCTGGAATAATTTCTATCATGTGCTTGTCCTGCACAGTGTAGTACATCACCTGACGTTATTTTCCTAACATTATTTCCAGTATCATCACCAGAATTTTTCCATCAGTCTTATGGCAATGGTAATGTTCTCCTTGCTCATCGATATTATATCGTAAGAGAAGAAAATGTACTTTTAAGGACATGAAATAATCTAATTCCTCGAATACTTATTCCTATCATCTAATGGACATGATTGTTATTTTCATTATCTAGTATATACTTGTAAATGTTTGTTGCAATTTCTAATTAATTTTACTGTTGTAAAAGTAAGACTTTGTTTAAATTTCTTGCATCTATGAAATTTAAGAAAATTTTATTTAGAATAAAATAATGATGTTTTCACTAAACTATTTTTTTAAAACAAATCTGCTCAGTAGGAGGGTCCACTTTATGGGGCTTCGTGTTAGAAAATAAGTGTTTGGAATTATTTATCTCCATACATTTTCATCACTTTGAAAGCCTAATTTTTGTAACTTGAAGCAATTTGAGATGAATAATCTAACACTTAAATCTAGGTGATAATACCTCTTTCTTTGGAGGATCCTTTTCGCATTTCACCTTCCCACGTTCCTTCCTATTTCTTATTTTTGAAATGCTTCGAATGAAACCATTTCATTATATCGCTTAGCACTCCTATTTACTCCTATTTATTTAACATCGAATAATTATCAGTAAATGCTTAATAAGACTGAAATTTTCCTACCCTTCCGACAATGTCAAAACAAACTGAAGAATTGGCATTGGAAGTGGAAGTGATCGAAATGGAAAATGTGAGTATCATCTTTTTCGAGTCCATAAAATTTCTTACTTTGCTAAGCTCATCTGTACGATACCCTTAGAATCACCATTTAGAGAACATTAACAGCTATCGAAATCACCTACAGATATTTTACATTTTACTTCCAAACCTAAATCCAAGTAGTCAACAATAAGCTGCATGCATTCGGTATTATTTATTAGTTAATTTTTTCTACTATTGGTGCAATAATTGTATGTTTATTTTTCTAAAATACTAGTAAAAATAGACAAAAATCATCACATTCTATGAGCAAAAATGTTGGCAAGGAAAATGCGAGATAATGGCAATGAGCCTGCGCTTCCAAAGGCAATTAAAAAGGCAAAGTTTTTCTTTAGTACTTTTTGTGGTGATTCAGGGTTCAAGAATTTATGTAATATAATTAGCTTCTTCTTCTTCAGGCCCACCATCGGTTGAGTTTATAAAACCCACTGAACAGAGGATGTTCGTCCCGTATTCAGATCTCTGCTAGTAAGCTTACTACATGATAGTTTTTTGCCATGAGTAATGTGAATACGAGCCAGTTTCTCTTAGAAAGTTATCCACTAAGGCATTCCTTCCTAGGTAGCTAACCGTAGTATGCTTTGCCATAACGTAACAAATCAAGAATAAGTGAGTAAGGCAGCTGAACTTCGTTAGTTAGATCTGGGTTTAAATCCCAGCGAAAGGGAGGAAGTTTTCATATTTTTCCCTGTGTGCAATGTAAATATGAGTTAGTTTCCCTTCAATAACTCTCTACGAAAGCATCCCTGCCTTTTTTGCTTTGATATGAACTCCAGCAGATGCTAACAGGATTCATCTTTCAACGCGACAGAGCATCCTCTCATTAAACTATTTATGTGACAGAGCACATTGAGACAGTGCTAACCTAGAAGTTGGATAGGACGGAATGCGGTAGATCGGTTTGCTCGCCTCTGATCTAATTCCCTTGTTTTTTTGGAGTGAGGATGGACTGGGACACATCGAAGACTTTGTCTGCCGAACATGTATTTGTTTTGATAATATAGTTAATGGGTTAATAAACGATGCACTAAGGAATCGGTACATCATTCAGTACACAATTATGCATCTTAATAGATATCACTGACATGTGATTCCCGATATCTTTTTCAATGTAAAGCGATAAAGTGAACGAAAATGACAAACACCACAGATTTATATCTATCACCTATAACTGTAGATATAAGGCGGTTGGTTAGAATGATTGACCTCTAACATAGTAATTCTTCACATGTTTTTCCCGTGGTAGAAAGTCCTCCACGAAGGCATTTCTTCCATCAGGCAGAGAACTGTCGTATGTATTGTTAAAAACTAATCAGTTACCTCGTATGTAAGCATACACTTTGTACAATTCCAATTTAGGAACACTCTTTCATTCCGTCTTACATCTATCTACCAGCAGCCGAAGGAATACAAATACGAAATGCTGACTTTTCGACCCTGAAAATCCTGCTAAAGTGGCTGCCCATAAAGGCATTTTTGTGCTTTTCCCCATGAGTAAAGTGGATACGAGGGAAGTTTTTTTTTCAGGATGTGCTCCACGAAAGCATCCCACTCCTTAGAGAGTCGACTTTATTGTGGTTTGCTATAAAATCAAATAAATCTAAATCTATTCCCTTATTACTCTTCCTGAACTTCAGAAATGGTTTACAGAAACTTTTCCTTTGTGGAGAGATTTCGTTCCATGTAACAGAAGATAGCAAGCAAATATCTGATTAGGGCTGTAAAGAGGCAGTTAAGGGCAGTTATACTTTTCTTTGCAAGAGACCATTCATGGTCTGCGGAAAGAAAATTTTATTCTAAAAGTTCATTTTATGAAGTTGTGATGTGTACATCAAATTCATAAAATCAAACAATTCGATTTCAATTTCCTTCCGCGAGCAAACTAAGTTTTATAAGATCGGGTTTGTTTATTTAACTATAGCAAAAGCACACAATGACTATCTGTCTAAGAGGAGGGATTCCTTCCGGACTTTCTAAGGAAAACTGGCTCGTAGTCACATTACAACTGCGGAAAGCTACGAAAGCCCCCATGCAGCCAGCCCATTCCCCAGGATTAGAACTCCGGACCCAATTACCAATGTTCAGCGACTTCACCGCTCGTCTGCCGGTGAGCCCTATTTTACGAGAAGTTGGGGTCGCAACTATATAAATAAGATTTTATTAATTAATTTTATTTTTTTATTAAGCACACAAGGGATATCTACCTAAAGGAGGAATACCTTGGTGGAAGACTTTCTAAGGGAAACTGGCTCGTATACATGTTACACATTGGAAAAACTACGAAACCGTTAATGCAGTCAGCCCCTTCGCATGGAATCGAATCCAGATCGAACTACCAGCGTTCAGACACTTTACCATTCGGCTGCTGGTGAGCCGGTGTTTTTAAAAATCGTGTTGCCAATAATTGCTACTACGTAGCATTTGAAGCTCTGAATAGTTGAAGTTCTGAAGTTGGGATTAGTAGGAAAAAATCTAGTATTATTTCTATCAGATTATTAAACCTCGTTGAAGCACTAAGTATAACTTGAGCTAGATTGTAAATTGAAACTGGATTCATTTATGAATGGAACTGACCAGCTATTGCTGTTCTACTTCAAATTCACCAACGGATTAAAACCATAAATTCCCTTCCAAAAAAGTAATAGATATTCCTCCACCAGTAATTTGTAGGTTACTATTTCTACAAAATTAGTAGGCTACTAATTGAGACACAGTTATTTCCTTATTCTTTCTCCTAGATAAGAGCAGAAGACTGTCGTTAATAGGAGGTATAACGTTAATAGGAGGTTAATAGGAGGTATCTATCTTATACTAATCTCTTTGAATCTTTACTTTGGAACTTTTTCTATAGCATATTAACATTGTAATGCCTGGTCCTCAAAAACATTAATCAAAAAGTAAGTAGCTTCCTGTATGTCAGGCGGGGGGGGGGGAGAATTTTATAGTTTAGGGGGAGGAATGCAGTCAGACTTTTATTTAGCTATTAAGTATTTATTTTTAGTTTATGAATATTAAAAACCTTTTTTAACTCATTTTTGATATTTAACAGCATTTCTTGTACTTTTTGTTGTTTAATTTTTAAAACACGTTAGAAAATAAATAAATAAATGTATACATATATGTAATTTTCAAGTTTTTTAAAGGATGGGGGAATGATCTTCAAGCAATGGCAAAAGGATTACATGTTGCAAAAAAGGTTGAGAATCACTGTACTAGGTGGAGGAGAGAATTAGAGACTGGCTTTCGGAGAAGCCAACGTTTCAATTGAACACTGGGACTTCTTTGTCTCACACGTCTTTGTTTGTATTTTCACGTAAACGTCGATCGGAAAAACATTGAGGAATGGTTCTATGCCATTCGACTTGGCCGGGCATTCAGTGCTTGAGTGTCTCAGATATGTTTCAAATGTCACAGGAACATAAGAAACAGAGCGTGATACTGAAAATACAGTACAAACGAAGAAGATATTGACAATTACATTAGACCCCAGATAGCAATGTCTTCTGTTAAAACTATGTTAGACTTCGCCGACCAAAGAGGATTCGAATACAATGGTAAAATAGCACTTGGGAAAATACCCAGTGAAATTCGAAAAATGTTCTCAGAAACAATGTTTACTGACTTTTTTTAAGAAATAAACACACACAATACTCACAAAAATTGCTAATCTGGATTATTCGTGTTTTTCAATTGACCGTAACTTGCTTCCGGATAATCAAAAGTACACTGTACTTACAAAGGCGTAAATAATCGGCTGTTTTTACTTTATGTAAATTATGTACATTTTATAGGTTAAGAAACACTACATTTTAAGCATTTGTTTTGTTTAAAGTAAGACATGGTTTTTGTAAACTATATTTTAGATCTGCGGATTTTTTATCCACAATGTTATAATGTGAAAGCTGTTTCAATTCTTAACCTTTGGAAAGGCGAATACTTTGACAAAAGCGATCAGTAGTAAACATACATTTTATGGATACACTTTTTACTTTAATCTAGTTTTTTTTTATCTTTTCAGAGAACAAACAAGAAACGTGCACGTGAAACAAGAACCTGAAAATGAAGATATCAATGACATTGGAGAGAGATACTTAGTTGAAGAACCAGAAGAAGCCAGTGGTTCAGAAGAAGCAGAAGATCTTTCTGCACAGCAAAACAGTGGATGCGTAGGGCAACAGTCTTCAAGATCGAGAACATCTATAGTAATGCCAAATGCAGAATGATCTTAAATACGAATTTATGTGAATATATGGATTTCACTGTTATCTGCCCTTGAATCAACACTTTTGAGCAGGTGACAAAGTTTATCCTGCCAGACGAATTTTGTTACATTCAAGATAGATTGTGCTAACATCTGCAATATTGAATTTCAGTAGTGTGACACCTTTTCATCTATTATTATGGAAACTTCCCATAGGACAAAAGGAGGACTTGTGAAACGATGAAGAGTAGTAAACCTGTTAATTCTTTCAAGTTTAATGAATTTTTTATACAAAATGTGGTTTTAGTAAAATGGCTAACAGAACTTATAGCTCATAGAACAGTAATTATTTCAAAGCGTGAAAAAATATGTAACGATAAACTTAGTTTTGTTTCCATAGTTTAGCAACATTTTGTGCTTTGATTAATAGTAGACTGTTTTTAATATCAAGTGATATACATAAAATTAAAAGAACGTAAACATTTTCAAGGTTCTAAATAATCCAACCTATTTAAATCTAATTTTAAAGCAAATGATATGCAAATGCATATATACACAAAGAACTTGCGAAAGGTAGCTATTGGATTTATTTCCTTAAATATTTAGCCTAGACAGGCCTTTACGTAAAGACAATAACTTTAAGTGTTATTTCCATTGCGATTAGTAGGATAAGAAACACTACACTGTTTCTAGCTGGACCAAGGGGTCAGCTAGAAAGTTAACGACGAGTGAGTTTTTATTCAATGTGGAACCCTTCATTGTCAAAACGAGCCAATTTTATTTTGGTTTGTTCCTAGATCTGGTGAAAATCAGTTCAAAATCCTTTAGCAATAGCTACTGAAAAGGAATCGTCAGTAAATTCGTTTCCCGTGTTCTTGTTTCGTATTTTTGGACTTTGCACAAAAAAGTGCAGCAGTTCCCCCCCCCCACACACACACACAAAAAAAAAAAAAAAAAAAAGTGTAGCAGTTTCTTTTTTTACTTTATTTCTTAAAACTTTAATTAATACTTTTTTAACCGAGTATTTTAATCTTAACATACTATAAAACTTGAATTTCATATTTGCAGGAACATCGTTTGTTCCTAGCTGCAACTATTTTTATAAGCTTATCTACTCTTTTTTTCAGAAACTCTACAAAAGTAATCAATTATAATCAACAGTTAAGGAAATAAAAAAATGTAGCTACCTTCTTTTTAACATCTCGAATAATATTTAATTTTTCCCAAAGAAAGTGAGGATTTAACCTTTGTTACATGCAGCACAAGAAGAAACTCCTTGAAGAGAAATAATAGCTGTTGCACGTATTCTGAAACATCATATTTTGAGAAACAAACAAAAATGTTTTTTTATCCTTTAGCTATTTAACATAAAGTGTTATTTAAATTTTAAAAGTACATGTAAAGATTTTGGGGCATATTTTCAAACTTTTTTATGCTTCGAAAGAAAGAAAATTTAATCATAAACATTTTACTGAATTCAGGCTCAAAATTCTTTTAACTGATAACTTAAAATAACAGATTTCTGTCAAACAGAACATAATATACTATTCTCCCAACTGTGTAACAGTGTTGTAATGCCATTTTGTAAATAAATTTCAAACATTCCATTCTGTGTTATAATTAGTAAGACTAGTATGATTACTTTTACTGTTCAAAGGGGTATGGATATGAAAACTTTCAGAAGGTCTGGCTGTTCATGTTATAATACCATTGTTATACGAGGATACACAGCTTATAGAGCGACTGTACTTTTTTGGAGGACGAGTACACGAGAAATCAGCGATGCCATTGCCGGGATTCGAAAGCCGGACCTCCAAATTACCAGCCGGACATGCTTTCAATTACACCACGAAAGCACTTGGAAAAAGAAAATTCCTTTACAAACTCATTAAACTCATTTGCATAAAGTTTCAGATTCGATCCATTATGTATCCAAGTAGAAGAGATGAGTAATAATCACGCGGCTTCTTTCTGTGATGTTCTTAAAAACTTCATCCGCACAATGTCTCAATTTCGATTTTAAAAGTTTAATAAAAAAATAGGTACAAATTACCCATATAAAAGAGATTAGTAATATCTAGCGTGGTGTTCATAAAAATTTCGTCGGTATAGGGTATCAATTTTGATTTTAACCATTTGGTCCAAAACTTAGGTGCAAATTATGCATCCAAATATAACAGATGAATTATAACCAGCAGGACTAATTTCTAAAATTAGAAGTTCCGGAAACGTATAGGAAGCCGCAAGAAATTTTAACATAATTTGTGAAAGAATGGATACATAAGAAAGGATACGTGATTTGGGCCTCTTAATTTACCAAATTGTTAAAATCAAAACTGAGACACTGTGCAAATGAATTTTTAAGAACACTTCAGAAAGAAACCGGCCGGTTATTATTATAAATAAATACAAAAATGAACAATTAAGGATAAATTAAACAAAATGCAAATATATAGATAAAAAAGAAAATCTGAAAGGTTTCAAATTTTAAATTACGTCCAAAGGAGCGTTTTTCTTTAACATTTTGTGTGTTACCTTTATTTATTAAATATCATGTTCTTCGCACTTAAACCATAAAATTCAGTTCAAGAGCAATATCACAAAATAATTTTAAATTGAAATAAAAATAAAATTATCTTTAGAATTTCCGATACACAATCTCACGCTCTGAAGATAAAAATGTCTTTTCTGTACAACGTTACCATTGCTCGCTTTGAAATCCTTGAGTTTGTTAATCAAATATTTGTTAAAAGTTTCACAAAATATGAAATCGATAATAAAACAAATTCCAAATTTCGGCTTTCAGATGCCCATATTCGCAGTAGGATTACGTCATTCAAAATTTGATGGCTCTAGGTACCGTTATTTTATCACAATGCGAGAAACATACATTTATGCAGATTCTTCAATATTTAATTTCTTCAAATATAATACAAGGCGATAATATTTGGTGGCAACAGTTTGAAAAGTGAAACGATCATTCAGAGTGATTCGACGCAAAATCGCAAAACGAAAACAGAAGTCTCTCAGGGACAAACCCCTTTTGGACTAAAAAGACTAAATTAAATTAAATGGTAAATAGTTAAATAATAAATTAAAATACTAGGGCTCTCTTTATTTGGGGTTCAGCTGGAATTACAATTTCACTCGCATACTAAGTTTTGATTCACAGCAAAGCCCGCGAGTGTTATCAATCTGCCTAAAGGGAAAGGACGCCTTCGTTGAAGTTTTCCTAATGGAAACTGCCTCTTATTCACATTATACATTGGGGAACACACAAATGCCATGCAACCATCCTGTCCGTCTACAAATATTCAGACGCTTTACAGCAACATGCTGGTGAGTCTTCGAAAACTAAGAAGTACCAGTGCCGGACTGAGATTGAATTTTAGGCTCTGATAACCAGGTGAATTCTTTCTAGTGATGTTCTTAAACGACTTTTAAAAATTTCATTGCACAAAGTTTAAAATTCGACAATTATTCGACAAATTTGACAACTTGGTCCATAAAGCATTTTGTTCTCCTCCATGTTTCACTTTCATTTCCTGCTCTTTCTGCACCCTAACATATAAAAATGTTCTTTCCGCCCCTGCATTGCTATACTCCTATTTGCCTTTGTGCAAAAAATCTCTGCCAGAAATTCGACTGAATCATCCGATATAGCTGTGAATTTCAGAATTTCATATTAAATAGATCAGCGTGCTGAAATTCGCTAAATATTTTCAAAGGCGTTCTCGAGAGATTTATTTGCAGAGATAATTTGATAGAAGCGGCATGCAATTTGATTTTATACCCTAATATAAAAATATATAAAGTATCCCAATGTAAAGAAAAATAAACGATTCTATGCCGATATGTGTAACATGAAGAAATAAGCATCTTTCGTAGATCAGTGATTCTGCAATTGCTTATAAATATATCCATTATTTATTACTTAAATTTATTATTACACATCACGTTCTTTAAGTTACATCAATAAACTACGTTATTGAAATAAGACAGCACATTTATTACTTTTAAATATTTAAAATTCCAATGTTAAATCAAACACCTTATTGTCACATTGAACGGAATCACTAATGAAATGGATTTTTTGGCAAACTAGTGAAAGATGTATTAATTACCTTTTATCCGGGTGTCTTACTTTACTAACATCATGTATCATTCTTAGTACATACTTTCTATGTCAATTCACTTACTTTACTTGTTCATTACACTTTTTATCGATCAGCTCCTAATGAATTTAATTTATAATTATTTGAATGTGCATTTTGTATAATTTCTTTTTAGTTAATATTTTGTTCAATATTAATTAACTTATTTTTCTTGACCGGCCCTAACAGACTTTTTATTGGGTTTCGCACATTTAAATTTAGAAATGTCGCTGTGAGTGAGAGCCTACATCGTGCCTTCTTTAACGTTGCATCCGTCATTCAAGAGCTAACTGCAATTAGAGATTTTCAAAGTGGTCCTCTTTTCTCTTTAGTGCTGCCATCTATCGATTCTTAAGCGAATGATTTCTTTAGCAGGGCACTAGACGGAAAAAAAAGAGGTTGAAAAGATTACTAGATATTTATTTTCTACCCACTGCCTAAACACATAAAAATTATTAAAGAAAATCCTAGAGTTTGCCTACTGACGGAAAATTTTCTGACCAAAAATAGTCTTAGTATTTCATAAGTAATATTTTGGCTCAAATTTTTTTTAATTGATTTATTTTATAAATTTTCGTTAAGAACTTCGGGGAACACCCCCTGAATTTAAAAATCTGTAAATTAAAAATTGTTGCACCTTTTTTAATTTGCTTTTTCTTAAATTAAAAAACAACAAATCTTTATAAGAACTTAATAGAGATTAAAAAACAATGCAACAAACTGAATATCCGGACTAACTGGAACCACAGTCAATCCGGATATTACAAACTATTGGAATAATTATAAATAAATTCATATTTATTATAAAGTAAGCAGTCGAATTTGTGTTTCGTTTCGTTTCTTATTTTGGAACAAATTGTGAAGTTAAAAAAATTATACATTTTGTAATTCCATGAAACTGTAGAGATCTCGAGAGCAACTTAACGATTGCAAATTGGAAAGAGTTGGAATTCTTGAGCCTAGTGTACGGCAGCTCCTTTTGCACTAGTGGCAGACAATTCGATTCACATAAAACAGACACAAGATCGAAACCCAAGGTTATTACCATCTTCAAGGGCATGCGAAACTCGTGCGCTGCAACACTTCTACAGCTAATAGATGGCGACACAAGCAAGCAATTACATACCTGATACTACCGAGGCCTCTCGCACCACGTAATCGCTATAGAACCAAACGCAATACTTTCGACAAAAATCATGCAGTGAATTTGTGTAATGTGTGTGTGATTATGGCAAAGCCTCGAGGGCTATCTGCCTAAGGAGAGGGATGCCTTCGTGGAGGACTTTCTAAGGGAAACTGGCTCGTATACAGAATTTGTCTAAACAAAGGACTTAAAAAATAAAAACAATTAATGAAATTCTCTTTGGGTAGCTCCTCTAGAAGAACGTACATGGTTTTGCTTTTATTTTTATTATACCCTACATAATAGGTTTTTTTTTTTTTTTTATTTTTTTTTTTTTTTATTTACTTAAAACGAAAAGTAAAATTAAATTAGTAAAGGCCTTTAAACTTTAAATACCTGCTGATTTTTATTTTTTCCTGGAAGGGAAAGAGATATAGAAATGCCCGGGCGCTTTATTTAATAGCAGCACATTATAATTTATTTTTTAGCTTTGACTGCCTTTCAAAACAGTGAAAGCTAGAAAACTTAGCTGCTGAATTTGTATAAATAAGCAGTTAGGAAAATGCAAATAATAATGTTTTCTTTTAATAATTCATAAATGTGGAGCTATTTTGCAACAACTTTTCAATATATTGTTTCTCGAGCTTTCAAAGGATTTTAGAACAAAAATTTGTAAAGAAACAGCTAATACACGGAATTTTATTTGCATGCGTCCATTTTTTTTACGGGTCTCGTTCAGGAGATTTATGCTTTTTGGCTATCAACGGGCTTATTTTGTTGTCATTGTTTTCTCATACCTTTTTATATATTATGTTAAGGTGAGATATGTTGTACCACTGGAAAGCAGTCCTCGGTGTGTCTACGGTAAGATAAAATGGCATTACATGACGTGAAATCAGATAATTTGGAGTTACATGATTTGACCTTACCCGACCCGACAAGACAAAATGCGACTAGTCGTCTGAAGCAGCCTGAAAAGACGTGATATCGTGCTACCACATCAGACCAGACAAGATTAGATACAAAGCCAAAATAGAAAAGGCCTGATAAGACCAACCCAGTTCAGGCAATGTCAAGTTGCGCCTCGCCTCGTCACATCGCTTCACTTGCCCAAACATTGACGGAACTAGATCAAGTTAAAGCAGAGCGCGTTTCCAGTCTAATCGAATCAATTCAATAACAAAATTGTCTAATCAAGTCTAATAACAAAATTGTCTAGTTTAATATTTGTGTGCCATATACATGCTGGTAATGTCGATACAGAGAAAGAAATGACTCGTATATAATTTTTTTTTTAATTATACAACTTTGTACATAAAGCAGTAAATTT